CAAGCATTCACCTGACTCACGAAGGTTTTCCTCAAGGTTCGAGCCCTGGGCACGCGTGATTGATCGGTAACCTATACTTCCTAAATGAAATCAGAAGTCGTCTACCCACTTGTGCAAAAATAGAGAAAATAAACCAAAAATATGTAAAAAAAAAAGGCAGACTAATATGTAAACCAACATCTGCTTCAGCAACAAATAAACATAATTAGAGTTTACCGCTCGGAGTTGTGAGAATTATTAACATTCTCAACTTGCCGGAAGATGGTCAGACAAGACTCACTTGATGGAGACGAAACTCTCAAGACTTTCTCACGCCAGAGATGCATTGCCGCTCATGTATTAACAAGCCTCTAACTAGCCACAATTCTTTACAGATTCCTAGAATACTAAATTGTAAAATTAAATTTCAAGGAGCATACACACACACAATATATATATATATATATATATATATATATATATATATATATATATATATATATATATATATATATATATATATATATATATATATATATATATATATATATATATATATACAGTATATATAAATATAAAGCTGTGCAGCTTTACACTAGACTGGAACAGGTGAAACAGGAGACAGCTGACCTCAGCATCCGTGTCACAGCCATGAAATATCGTTGAAATTGTGCCCAGATGGTCGGCGGTGAAGCGAGAGGAGGGTCGCTCAGCCCAGTTTAATAAAACCTACGAGTTACTTTTTATGTAATACATCAGTGTATTAAACCTGCATGCAGACCTGGTCGGGCAGACCTGGTCGGGCAGACCTGGTCGAGCAGACCTGGTCGGGCAGACCCACTCAGCCGATGATTACTGTAACTTCTGAATAGCGTGCTAAAGCCGATAGTAAATTTGCATGTGTGAGGCAGCGGGGCGGTGACGAGGGAGGTGGAGTGTGTATATATATCGCTTTACGACTCGCAGATCTGATCTGTCATGGAGACCTTCCTCGTCGTTAACTGGGCGACGTCCTCTCCACACACACTCCTCTCTCCACCCGCCTCTCTAAGCCGCTCCGTAACCTCATAGACAACATTTGGGAGGCAATGTTATGCGAAATATATGCCGTTACGGTAGGTAAACTCAACTCGGTTTACAACAAAAGAAGAGATATAGAGAATAACAACGTTTTCCCTCACCAATACCAACATATGTGTGATAAACTAACGGGTAACTAACTTATTTCCTAGGAACACAAAGTCCGCAGTCGCCTCAAGAACGCCCAGCGAGCTCGTGAATATTACTTCAAATAGATTTTGGGATTTTCTGACAATGTTTTTCTTGTATTTGAACAATAAAAGAAAGTCCCTCGTTGTTTTTAACGTTTTAGAGTGAAAGAACATAATGGAATTGAATCTGGAAGTGCATTACAGCATTTAATTGTCAACTCATTTCACTATAGAGACCGGGTAGGTGACTATCCACTAGACTAGGACCCGGGTAGGCGACTATCCAGTGGATAGTCAGTGGCTAAAAAGATGAATAGAAACCGGATCTCAAAAAGCCAGAGCCTAGCGACTACGGAGAAAATGCAGACACAGACCTGTCAGACGTAAGCCACTGCAAGCCACAACAAGCAGGAAAAACTACAGCAAAGCCTTAACTCTGTGGAAAGACTGAGCAGTAGGAACTTTTCCGTGTCACCTTGTCGACAAACTTGTGTCATGTGTGTGCCGACGCGTCTTGTTGTGTCAACAGGTAGTGTAGAGAGGAGGGAAGGGTGGGAGGGGAGAGAGAGAGAGAGAGAGAGAGAGAGAGAGAGAGAGAGAGAGAGAGAGAGAGAGAGAGAGGGAGAGAGAGATTAAGAAATGCACCAAACTCAAGACCAAGATGCAGCCTCCAGCCTCCAGCCTCAGCATCAGTAACTACACATCTGCATGTGTCGTTCCTCTCCACAAACACCCGACTGACTGTCTCACGAGATGCTTATGAGAAAGTATGTAACAATTAAGATACTTCAGTGTCTTATGTCGGTAATCTGATCATTATGCATTAATGAAGTAGATCAAATTTACCTTGCTCTAATATAAATGTATCAACAAAACCTGCAAAGAGATCTTATGGCTGCTGTCTCATCTAGCAGGACGTAAAACAGCCGTCTATGTGTTCATCTTTGTCGATAAATAATTCTTCAACTCGCAAAAATAAGATCTTGGTCTAGATTCTTGACTGGTTAATGCCTCAAGCATACTTCAAAGCAGCACAAGCCTCAGTTCTTACCGATATATTCTTTGCTTCAGCACCAACATACCCCACAGTATACTCACTGACATGTCACCTTTCACCATGTTGTATATCCCCATCACTTGGACCCGCCTTGTTCCTGGTGCACTTCAACAGCCCCCACCACAGAGGACACGCTCCTCCTTACGACGGTTGCAGATGATATGCAACAAATGATGAGACTTTCCGGATTTGGAATGGAGGTTGTCTAAAAATATCCATTCAAAATTAGATTCGACATAACACAGTCAGAAAACAAATATACATAAGACGATAGAATGATGTTAAGTGGGAACTAGACACTAAAGTTGAACCCTGGCAAGCACAGAGACTAGAACACACACTCTGTACACCAGTTGATTGACAGTTGAGAGGCGGGAACAAAGAGCCGAAGCTCAATCCCTGGAAACACAACTAGGTGAGCACACACACACACACACACACACACACACACACACACACACACACACACACACACACACACACACACAATACTATATCAAGAGAAGTACGGACTATACAAAAGGGGTATTGGGAAAGATGTGGTAAGGAAATCCCAGTGTAACTTTGTCTTACCTAGAAATACAAGTAAGCAATCAGGCAATTACACTGTATCTAAAATATAAATCTTTTAGTGCTCTACAATTGCCTAGTCCAGTCAGGATTGTAACGATTTCTACTCATAGTCACAAATAAACCATCTGATTGAAATTCTGGATCACAGAATGATTACACAGCATATTGGAGAGTATAATTAACAAAATATAACATTCAGACGCACTAAGGATATAATCTATTGAGAATAAGCGAGCAGAATGGTGAGTAATGATACCTTAGAAAGGGATCTGCAGAGAGTAGGAGGAAGGGGAAGGAGCCGTGCCAGATGGAACAAGACATATGATAGGGATACCCAAAGACAGTATGGGATCATGTTAACACCAAAATATTGTGGGAAGGGGCAGAACGAGCAACACTGGCGAGAACCAGCTCAGTTATGAGGGGTGATAAAGGCCCCAGTGAAGGAGCCATCACTGAAGGGTGGAATCGGGCCAATTAATGGAGAGAATCAGTGTTGTTAAGGGAAAAGGACAGAGAACGAGAGAGAGAGAGAGAGAGAGAGAGAGAGAGAGAGAGAGAGAGAGAGAGAGAGAGAGAGAGAGAGAGAGAGAGAGAGAGAGAGAGAGAGAGAGAGAGAGAGAGAGAGAGAGAGAGAGAAAGAGAAAGAGAAAGAGAAAGAGAGAGGAAACTCTAGAAGGGTGAGAAACTCCCTCCAGTAACTCCAGTGAGAGTGAACTAGAGGGACGCACAAACGAGACGATTGAGTACATTGTACCAAGCCTCACGCTGGGTTACACCAAGGTAAACACCAGTCACAAAAAAGAGAGACCAAGAAAGCAGAGGCTACATGATTCAACAGCCGATTGCAAGAAGTGTAAACACAGACACAAGTCTACTTGAGGCAAGTGGAGGGAACAGTGTTCCCAGACACATCCAGAACTACCGTGGAAGACCAGGAATGACTTCACCAAGGACAGAGAAGTCTTCCTGTGGTGGTACGTAAATGGCATAGAACCACCCATTATCTGGCCCATGGTTCTAAAGAGATACTGGAGTAGAGGTAATCTTTTTATGGCACTAACTAACGCCGTTACCAAGTTAAAGACGTTCAAGACTTCACAAAGACGTAAATGTAGAAGAAGCATCAATACGGGCGATAGACACGAT